TATATATATATATATATATATTATTTCAGCATTTTTGTACATCAAGTTAAACAAAATGTTTTTCCAGTTAATATTTATTTTATTTCAAGCAACAGAAATTTTCTTTGTATGGTTTTATTTAACTAAAACCTAAAAACCCTGGGTAACACTTGAAGCTTTTATACATAATGCATTATAAACGTATTTTAAATGCATGAATTATGCCTTGTGATGCACTGTATGATCTCATGAATAATTAAAATTAGTTATAATACATTACGACACTTATTTATGCATTGTTACACTTTTAGAAAGTATAATGCATTAAAACACATAGTAAACCAATTTCAGATTTCAAATATAATGCATTTTAACAATTACAATAATGTATTTACAATTCATTATACATAATAGCTTTCAGTGTTAGTGTTTATGTTTTTGTAGAGTGGATTGCTGGTTTTCACCATGCTAAATGACAAGAAACACTTTAATAAGATATGTTACATATTTGGGGGTGTTCGTAATCCTGTTGTTCATTTGTAAAACACGCATAATTGTTGCAATTGTTGGACTGAAGCGAGAGCGAACACGGTTTTACAAACAATTTCTGCTGTGATCGGCATGCAGTGTTTTCACGTGCTGACAGATAAATCGCCTGATGTTTATATCTGGCACAGATGTGTTGGAGGCGTCTCTACCTTCACGTCCACGTGAGCCATGAGCACAGCGAAGTTGGTGAGGTGTGTGCAGGAGCAGGTGGTGTGCGTTCGGTTGGTTCCCAGCAGCCGGCAGTCCTGCGTCGACCAGAAGCCCATCATACTGCGCTTCGAGTAGCTCCAGAACGAACAGTTGGGGTTGAAATTCTCCTCTGACTGCTGGAAGACGAGGAAGAAGAAACTGCGTCAGAGAGGAAAGCAGCGAAACACACAACATGGGCAAGAATAAGAGTTACACTCAGTGTTCAAAACATGTTGCCACACATGCCAAAAGACTTTAACCAGCAGAACTCATGTTCACTGATCGTGAAAGTGCAGGATGGATGAAAACGACTAAATTGTAAGATACTAATAATTATGACATTACATTTTAAGATGTACTTAAGTCCTACTTAAGTGAGTCAAAAAGTACTCCATGGTTCAGCTAACTGCATTTGATATATATTTCAACTATAATACATTTCCATTTTATTGCAATTAACATGCACACTGCGTGTCTGAAAACATCACATTCAAGTAGCTTCTTTTAAAGTCTATTATTTCTGTAAAAATGCTTAAGTGTACATTTTCTCACAAGGGTAAGTAGGGTAAGTGTCTGAAAACCAGGGATATTATTGTTAACTAAAACTGAAACTAAAATTAAACCATTTAAAAAAAGTTACTTGAAATTAAATAGACATTAAATGAAATAGAATCTAAAAAAACAGATAGTTGCCAAAGCAAAATCTGTCATTTTGATTTAATTTTACACGATGTTTGAAAATAATGATATATTAAAATCAATTATAAAAAAGTACAATTATATATATTTGTATTATTATATTTTTAATAAAACACTGTAGACAGTTACAAAAAAATCTACTAAATTTCTAAACTAAAATTAAATAAAATGAAAATGGAAACTATAAAAATTAAAGTTCATTCTAAAAACTATAATAGTATCTCATTTACACTAAAATAACACTGCTGAAAAAAATTACATTGTTCACACTCAATTATATTCTATTTTCCATAAACACTCAAGTGTACTTTCATTTTCACAAGGCTAAGCAAATAGATAATAATTTAATATCATCAAACTAATCGATCTAGCCTCCATTCCATACTGTGACCTCTAAACTACAACGTTCAACCCAGTCAGAATGTTTTTTCTGCATTTTGGAGGAAAAAATAAAAATAAAAAATACAAATACAAATACAAATACAAATAAAATAATGATAATAATAATAATAATAATAATAATAATAATAATAATAATAATAATAATAAATACAAATAATTAAAATTAAATTAAATATATACAAAATAAATAAAAATAAATAAAATTAAATAAAATTAAATACAATAAAATAAAATACAATACAATACAATACAATACAATACAATACAATAAAATAAAATAAAATTAAATTAAATTAAATTAAATAAAATTAAATTAAATTAAATTAAATTAAATTAAATTAAAATTAAATTAAATTAAATTAAATTAAATTAAATTAAATTAAATTAAATTAAAATTAAATTAAATTAAATTAAATTAAATTAAATTAAATGAAACTGAATTTTAAGGAATGGATTTAAACTGCGGAGCCAAGAGTAAAGCACTCGCACTGGTGGCTAAAGCATTATCAAATTAGCCCAAATCTGTAACAAACAAGACACTCCGGCGGCTGGCTGTTGGTATTCTGTGGAAATCTGCAGATTCCTTGTGGATTTGCCGATATCTTTCTCCCGTGAGCAAATCTAACACACACGATCAGGAAATAACGTTCCCAGCTCTAATCGAGCCTGCAGGCAGAGATTCTGTGTGTGTGTCATTTTCGCGTGCATTATAATAAAGCGCTTGGAGAGAAATAATTCAGGCATAAATGCTGGTGGAGGGGGAATTGGCAGATTTTAACCAGCGGATCTATTTTTTACCGATCATGACATTGCAGGAAGAATAATAACAATAAAATCGGATGAGCCATTTTAGCATAAGACAACAGAAGTATGAAATGACATATAAAGATGTACTTTAGTCCTACTTAAGTGGGTCAAAAACACTCTAAAGTTCAGCTAAACTCATTTAATCTAAATGTAAACTAAAAAACATTGTCATTTAATTGCAATTAACATGCACATTGAGTGTCTGAAAACATTACATTCAGTTCACAGAAGTACATTCTTTAAAAGTCTATTATTTCTGTAATAACGCTTAAGCATACTTTTGTTGCACAAGGGTAAAAGTCCATTCACACCAAGTATGATGACTGTAATGATAACTATATTAAAGTCCACATCAACGCACAATAGTGTTCTGTTTATTATAAGCTTGTGCTGTGGTTTTGTTGTCTGCTACTTTAAATGCTCAAGCTCTTTAAGACAGGATTCTGATTGGCTGTCAATGTTTTTATCATATCATTCAAAAAAATGAAAGAAATCGCAATGATACAGTCTACTAATACTCTAATCAGAATTAGTTGACTTAGTTGCAAAGTTATTTATAGTTATAGGGCCCTGTGAAACTGGTTTCAGTTTTTCCTGATTCCCTTATTTCCCTTATTATTATTATTATTATTTATTTTCATTACATTTTTTCTGGACTCTGTTTTAATGTTGTTAGTAATCAAAAAGCTTATCTAATGAATTAAAATCATGAAACTTTCACAATTTAACCACCATTTATTAAATGTTTAACCAAAATTACATGGTTAGGGCTCTATGAATGAATGAATGAATGAATGTATTTATTTATTTACAACACTAGGGCCATTTCCAAAATAAAAAAAATAAAAATACACAAAATGTCCCCAGAAATTCTGTGTTGTGTACTTTATTTGTTTTCTGGTAAACAGAAGAAGGCATAAAACATGAATTAAATTTATATTTTAATAAAAAAATGACAATTTAACAAACCCTTTCATTTTCAGTCCACACCATAATTGCAATGATAACGGCACACAGGAATGATATCGTTGTAATCACTTTCAAAATCCAAAATGTATTCATCCAAAATTTGACAAATTTCATGATATTCTGCGTTATACGGTAAATTACAATTTTATGCCTGGATTCTGCTATTTCGTCGCCATTTCCCACATTGCGGAAATCATAGGGCCCTATAGTTTGTAAAATGTCTAAAGTGGACTATAAATAATAGAACAGCAGGTTATTCAATAAACTGTAACTTTCTTTTGAGTTTACAATGATTTTTAAAACGACATCGTTTTCATCGTTATCATCCTTAATACAGAATTAATCAATAGCATCCAACTAATCGATTTGCTTGAATTTACAAACGTTTTAAGCATTTTATATTTGAATCCTTTTCTGCATTTCTGGGAGAAAATCTATGGAATTATATTAGCTAAATTAGCCAAAATCTATCTTTCGTGCTCTCTCTCTCTCTCTCTCTCTCTCTCTGTCTCTCTCT